AACAATTTTTTACACGAATTCTATTTCATTCCATACTTTAAATGCCAGGACGCTTTCAATTAATGTCTAGTCTACCCATTTGCTATATTTTCTCGTTTGTTTTACTAATTTTTGACCAATTAATAAGCATGTTTTTGTTTTAGAAATTGATATTCAAATTCCCCGCCATATTTTCATAATTTGGTGCATGCGCAGACGTTTTCCGCGGTGTTTACGTATAATGGATGAAATTATAAGTTATAAGATGTGCGCAGTAAAAGTGCGCAATGCAAAACTGCGGAATTACCTTAATACAATATATCTTACTTTTTGAGATTGTATCTCAGTGGATTGTATGCCCGGATAATACATATTTTTGTATTTAAATTCCGAAACTTTGAAATGTACCTTAAATATTTGGCTTTTATTTCACAATATCATTATTGCTATTGTCAGTGACACTTGACTTGACTTTATTTTAATTGGAACTGAGTCTGAGGAAAACTAGACCAATGACAGAATGACTGCCATTAGTGAGCTTAAGATCGCAATTAGTCCTACCAATTTTCGGGTGACCTCCGTGTTAGGGACGAAACGTGAAGGGGACAAAACGACCATAAAGCAGGAATTTATAATGTAATTATAACGTACGAATCGTAACCGGAACTAGACGTAACTACACTCACATAATGCTACTGAAGGACAACTTTGTATAATGTACGAATCGTAACCGGAACCAGAAAGTATGATCACATCACCCCGGCTTTAGATAAGCTGGGATGGTTGTCAGTTAACGACTCTTTATTGTACCGTAATGCTATTATGATGTATAAAATAGTTCATGGTCTTGCACCTGCCTATACCTAAGTTCCAAGCTAGTAATCCGTTCGCAAGTTCATAATCACTTTACCAGGCAGGCAAATGACTTAAACATATTACGATGTAGAACATCTAAAGCTAAGCGATCCTTTTTTAATCATGCAGCACTGCTGTGGAACTCATTTGATCTTTCGACTCGAGACATTTCAACTCTAGGAGGATTTAAGAAGGCCGTACCAACAGAGTTAATCAATAGACAGAATTAATTTTTAATAGTCTTCGTAATATACAATAATTCTAGTTTAGCTGAAGACTATCTATCTTTTTAACATAAGTTCTAAATAATTGCATGTAAATACCATATTACTACACTTATTTGTAAATTAGTTATGAAAAACCCTTATGGGGATTAACTAATAAATCATATTGCATGTGTTTCATTGCATTTCATTTCATAATAAGAGGGTCCTGGGAACTGGGATTTGCTTATTTTTGGGTGGGAAAATGGGATTTCATGCACTGGGACTGGGATTCATCAGCAAAAAAACAATAGAAAATGGGAATGGGATTAAGATTTGAGCAGGACAGCCACTGAGATGATGGGATTTGTGCTCTGGGACAATGAGATTTAGTCAAAATTTGGGCTGGGAAATGGGAATACAACCCCCCATTCAGGACCCTCTAAATAAATATTGCATATTTAGATTAGGACACGAAATTATAATCAACGAAAACAATTTTAGCTACAAATTCACTTCTAAAGATGCGTAACAATCTCAGCAAGCTTTTAACCAAGATGTCAAAACTGGTCGTCCAAAGAATACCGTGGGTGTGACATCTCATTTAAAGCCTGAATTTAAAGCCTGAATTTAAAGCCTGGATTTAAAGCCTGAATTTAAAGCCTGAATTTAAAGCCTGGATTTAAAGCCTGAATTTAAAGCCTGAATTTAAAGCCTGAAATCAGTGTGTCATATACTCATGAATTCAGCATGTTTTCTTGTAGAATAGATAAACAACAGTGGACAACATTTTAGGTATTCATGGAATATGAAAGCTTGCGGGTTGCTGTTTAAAGAAAACAATTTCTTAGCCCGTCCATGGCCGTCTTATTTTAAATGCCTTGCTAATCTGAATCTTAATTGATATAGTACGCATGATAGATAGATAGCGTAGCATGCAGGCCTTAAAATATCGGTCGGTCACGGACATTGTCCGACCCATTCGTGAAATTGTCCGACGTAGAAAGGAAACCACCGGACATTCTGTCCGACCAAAGTGAAACTGAGGTTTATTGTTTGTCCGACCCGAGTGTATTGGTGTCCGACCGAACTGTAGCTTTGTCCGACGTAAATCAAAATGTACCCTAGACCAGGACTAGAGCCTTGTATGTTAAATGGAAAATCAGAGTACTATTGTGTATAAGGTGAACTGGAAATGTTGTTTTAACGTAGTCGAGCGCGGGGCGGCGAGCGAAATGGTGAAGTGGAAAACGGGCTCAAGTTGTCGAAGTCTTTTTTAATACTGCTGTTCTGGAAAGCTTATTTCCGAGTCAAAACTGAACTGAAGGTCATCGGACATATGTCCGACCCAAACTCAACGTCACCGGACATTTTTTCAGACGGCCCTGGAAAAAATATTTTGAGGCCTGAGCATGTACTACTAAATGGGATCATGGTGTTTGAAATAATTAAGAGGGAATTTTTTTCAATGTCACGTATTTGCAATGAAAGGTGTTCAAAACCTAAAATGGCGTTCCTCTCAAAATTACTTTGTTTTAGGTTTTTTCTTTAGTTTATACAGTTAGAAACCTTTTTAAATGTATCTGCCGGTTGAGAAACATAAAATAATAGTTAAAAATTGTCAATTAAAAAACAATTATCATCGACGCTTTAACATTTCATGTATGACGCCATATTTACAGCTACTGCATGTATATAAGCCAAACTTACTGAACTTCAGACATTATTTTCTCTTGGGCGTGTCTTCTAAAATCTCTTCATTTTAGCATTATTTTACAGATAAAGCACTAAACTTACTTTTTAAGTTTGTTTGCCAATTGAGAAACGTATCGAAAACTAGAAATTTTAAATTTAGTCATAACCTCAAGTGGTATATTATACGCATTAGTTTTGAGCGCGTGTTACGTGAAATACAAAAAAATCTCCTCTTAAAAACAGAACAAGTATATGTACTTACAAATTCGCGATCTTCAGCCAATATAGCAATCTCAGAATCTCTTTTGCCCAGCAAACTGCGATCGTTTATATTCGCTAGAAAGAGATTAAACATTTTAAACAGAGTGTTTCAGAGGAGGCATGCAAGCGCGACAATCATTTTCAAAATTAGTTGCATGGGACAATTGCGGTGGCTTTCGATCATCAGTGGATATACGCAAATTATGCAAATCATGCACCCTCCCAAACGCGCTCACCATTCAATCAATTTTCCACCAACAAAATACCCTCAACACGTATATAAGTACCTGATCCTATGATAGCATAACGATCGTCTACAATCATAACTTTTGAGTGGACGTAGATAAGCTCTGTGATCTATTGATGAAAAGAATTTAAACTTTATCATATAGACAGTAACGCACTGCAGCCAATTCGCTACTATGTATATACCATGCACCCTTGAAGTATAGCCATAGGGTAGCCCTCACTATATTCTGAGACCTGAGTGTGCAAAAAAGTTCTTTATTGAACATCACGCATAAAACTTTGGCCCAGGTAAACGCTTTCTACGATGTTTTTAAACTGCAAAAAATTGTTCCCCTGCACATACAAATTACTTGCATGAGCTGTTTCAACGTTACTGAGATATTGTCCCACACAGAGCAAGCTGGACCAATATTATACATGCATGATAATATTAAATTGTTATTCCAACAATACTGTTAATATTGTTTAAATTACTTATCATTCAAAGTTCAAACCGTCATCAAGACTAAGTACAATACTGTTTTATATTGTGAAAATTATTGAACCATAATCACGACTTGAGATTATGGCGAGGGGCAATATAGTCACCAAAATCAAATCACTCTTATAATGTATCAGTGGAGCATTGTAAAAAAATTAAATTGTTGTTAAACCGTTAAATCATATAGATGCAAGACATTTACTTCCTCATTTGTTTAACTTGTTTAACACGGAACAAGTGTACAATGCCCATTTGTTGTGTAATTATATAATTTCCAAGGCACTTGGAACTATAACATGCGAAGCCAATATTTAGTTTCAAAAGGTAAGAGCAGCCATTGGGATAGTAGCTCCACCCTTCCTATATGAAACATTCTAGACCGTCATAATTACTTCTTTAAGAAAGCCATAAAAAGAGCAACAGTTGAACGTGCAGTACCTACAAAGACGCTTTATACTATTCACAGAAATTCCTCTTTCAAAACATGCTTACAAAGAAGTTTGTGCATGAAAGTGAACATTTTCCAAGAGCTACATGACATGTTTCAAATGAAATTTGCAGGATGCAATTACTCTTTCTCACGCTGGGTACATCCGCTGTTTTTGAGTCGCCGCCTTTTCCAAGTCAGAGGGCGTAGCGCGAAATGCGACATTTTGTCACTCTGGTTGTGCGTGCAATGGTAAATTGCTAAATTTATAGTTACAACGTTGTAAAGTCGCTTTTCACATTGTTCACGAGGCTTCAGAAGTGTTCGTGGGTTGGATTCTCGCTACGGACTCATGTGAAAAGAGTCTGTCAACGCTCTGGCGAAACTCGTGGGCTTTCTCCGGGTGCACGGGTTTCCTCCCACAGGGAAAGTCGAAATGGTGGGTTAGGATAAACACATTTAAGAAAGTAATATCACAATTAATGTAAAGATAAAAGAATCTAGGCTAAGTATATGCGGTTAGGTAAGCATAATACATGATGCCACGCGCATTTAATTTAATCTACATGTGGATTTGCGCTATATAGAGACGCTATAAACGTAATCTGATCGTATTCTCTGAAAATGAAAGACAGTTTTGGACAAGTACAAATAAAAACATGGCAAAATACAAATTTTACTCGTCTGTACTGGTCAACAAAGAGAATTTAATGAAACAAGTAAATTGAGCACTTCTACATGCCTATGATATATTGAGTAGTGACACTTATAGCAGGTTTTGAAATGGATCTAAATGGACCATTTGCATTATAGACTAAATTTTGATCTAGACAAAAATTTCATCGCAGCTTGAAAGAGCATCACAAAATTAGTAATATTCCAAAGTTTCGTTGCGAAATGTTGTAAAATGCGGATAATATAGCCATGCGAAGTTTGCCGTTTTTCAGTCATTTTGTATTACAAACGGGAAATTGATGCCCCAACACCCGATTGGGCTGTCAATTTCTTTTGTCTAGATCAAAATTTAGTCTATAATGCAAATGGTCGATTATAGAACGACCTCACAGCGAACGGTTTCTTGCGCAGAAACTTGAATGAATTACCCTAATAAACTACCGTTAACCCATTAAGTTGCAATGCGCCCTAATGCTCCCCACTTTAACATTTTACTCTTTCTAAGATTAGACGATTTTACTCGTCAAGGGGAAGGCAAGAGTAAAATTCGAGAAAGAAGAAAAATCTCTTACTGGACCTCAAAGCTAGAGAACAGTTTAAAAGTGATAGAGCTATCCAATGCTAATATGAATTAACAACACGTACACACAAATGTCACTATATATATATAGTCTGGCAGTCCTGCAAACGAGAATTTAAGTCGGGCAGTAGATTATCTAATAAGCATTTGTATCCAAGTTTAGTGCAAGAAGGAATACAATAACATCGTGAAACAATATTAATTTATTCTATCTTATCAGCTTTATTGGACACAAAATTATAGATTACAAGGTGTACGCCCAAAGGGGCTAGTGGAAACGGGAAATCGAAACGATACAAGGCACAACTCCGAAATAAAATTATGACTAGATTACAAAAAAGAGAGACCATATACAGTAAACATTATGCAATAAGTCAGATTATTATACATCTGTGAACAAATATAAACGACGAAGAACAATCCGGAAAGAACCGTCAACATTCAAGGACTTAGACAGTTTGAAAGATGAACTTACATGGCATATTAAACACTTTCGAGCCAAAGATCTCTCTGTCCTATCTGAAACAACTCGATTAAATTATATTGGTCACAGGTTGTTATAGAGGCTGAAACATGATTGATACGAGACGCCGACGACTTTCTCATGGTATTTTGAATTTATTAATTAATATTCCCTGTACCTTTTCAATGACAATTTACATAAATTTTAAAAAGAAACTATGAATTATCGACTGTATATACAACAATCTTATCATTAGTGATTATTACATTTACATGAACTAAAATTATACTATATATTATAGTTTATGAGTTAAAAAGTTAAAAAGAAGGCATCGCTTTTCAAACCTACACAGAACTTAAAGCTACATTATATCTATATGCAAGGGTGATCGTAACAGTGGTTCGCCAATTACTACGGGCCCAATATAATCTAGAAAACTAACAAATAATTAACCATGCATATTCAGAGCGAATTACTCACAGTTATCATGATTTATACAACAACTTCAAAATATTCAAATTTCAATAACAATACGATATTGGACTGCATTTCAAACTATACGATATAGTAAATCAATCCCTAATCCTGCAAATCCCATGCATTTGCCTGGTGCAAAAATAGGTAAATTCCACGTCCCATTTTACCCCAAAAGGACCCTATTTAACACCCCCTGAATATAATACATACTGCATATATAACAACTTTGATCAAAATTTCATTTTATGGCAACAGAATTCGAAAATTAAACATAAATGTTCTAAAATGACAATTGAGTAAAAAGTGACCTATATTGATACTTCTAAACAAAGCGAAACTGCTTTCGTTGTATAATAGAAGGTTACAAGATATTGCAATCTACATGTACAAGGTTTAAAAAGGACTTGTACCAAACGGTTTTAACGGAATTTTTACCCTTAAACAATCCTCGTTGTATCGATAATTCCATCTACAAGACACTTCAACTATTATTCAATCGAATGCCAACAAAATCTGAACATTGAACGACGATATCAAGAAACTGCTTAAGTTTAATTAACTTTAAGAAAGTAATCGGTATAAAATTTAGAGAGTCTACTTGATAATAATTCTATAACTGCTGCGATATGTTTAGGGGATGAGCAGACGATACTAAATTCGTACAACTTTTCATACTTGAAGTTTTTGTTTAATTCTGTTATATTAGGCCCTATCATAATTTTGTGTGCTAAATTCCCCTCGAAACTGTAAAATATGTAGCTTAAGTAGTTGATAATTATTCTAATTGTTATAGAGTCAATAAATTATTTATACAATATTTTTACACTCATTTGTAAGTTTGTAGATATAAACATTGTCACCAACTAGTTTGTTATACAGTCAAATAACCCAGACACTTGAATAAAGTTTTTATTATTATTAATATTATCTGTCTGCCTGTTTCAACTTCCGTGCATCCAATTAAATAATATTAATCTTCATGCGATAGTTCTTGGTAAGCAACCTCGTACTTCCTATCGATAGCGTCCGTGAACTAGCACGCGCCTATATTCTATAAATGGGCAAGCATGCTTGAAATGTCTTTCACATTCGAAATTGTGGAAAGTACTTTCCGTGGGCAATTTACCGTCTTAGCTCGTTTAATGACAATTTGGAAAGCAATACTAGAAAAAAGTGGGTGGTTTAGACTGAAATGCATACTTTCAAAACGATGTAAAAATAACTACAGTCATATATGTGTATGTGTTGATGTAATCATATAATTACAAACTTGGGGTCGATTCAATAAAAAAGTAGCTAAAGTTAACTATTATAGTTATACTGGTTGTATAAAATTCTCTAAAATAGACGATTCGGATTGAACCTTTTCATTAAGTATTAGTTAGAGAAAAGTTTCAATCAGAATCGTCCATTTTGGAGTTAATAATTTTATACAACTGGAAAAAGCTAATTTTCAATTATAATTGATAGAACATTATAATTTGTAAATAATTGTATTGTAATGGATAGAAGAATGCTCAACACAAAATCCTTTGTAGAGCAAAATATGTATTTAATCTTCAAAAAGCATTAATAATTCATGAGGAAAACACAAAGAAAAATCATAAGCGTATCGTATCTCATATGTGATAGAGATTTCCCTTGATTTACATAAATTTTAACTTTGATTTTCTCGACTTATACAACTTATTTTTTGAAAATTACTTCGCCAATCAACGTTTTTGAAGCAATTTAAAACAATCACAGTGCGTGTTTTATCAGACCTGAAGACACTCGGCTTCGTCTCGTATCTTTATATCTAATAAAACACTGCTGCTCATCTTTTAAATAGCGCTTAAAATAGTATAACTGTTGCTACTTAAAGTTTCATGCAGGTTTTATTTCAATTTTCAGGCAAATTCTTCTTCTTTCTGATTCAGTTCAATGTTTTATATATATTTAAAAAATTATTAACAATTAGCTATTTCCCAATCGAGCAGAGAACTAGGTCTAGTCGTTTGTTTGGAGGGACAAAAAATAAACAATATGCCGAACATGGCATCTATAGGAAGTTTTCCTACATTCCTAAAGGTATTTGTGCAGCCTGAAATGCAACAATTATAATAAGCATCTTTTAATATATATTTAGCTCGCTCACTATAACTTGTTGTCCCTCCAAACATCAACTAGACCCAGTCCTCTGCTCCATTGGGAAATGGCTAATACCACTGGTTCTGCTGATGTTTAATCACTTTACACCTCCCGTGAACCCCACGCGAAATACACGCGCGTTTTATACCCAAGGCTAGTTTTATTTGGCCGGCATTTTGGCTTCACTCAATCCTGGCATTTTGGCTTCACTCAATCCTGGCATTTTGGCTTCACTCAATACATATAGTTCACTGGGAATTTGGTCTGATTTTTCAACCATGCATATGCTTTCAACCAACCATGTCATGCAAGCTTGTCATTTGTATTTTTGACAACCTGGCCTGGAGTGTCTATCTTTCCGTTCTTGACTGCTATAGCAAACATGTGATAGTATATATAGAGGTTTCACTGCATGCAAGGTCAATATGTAGCAAAATTTAAAATCACATATCGGCACCCAGAATTGCTAAATTTACCCGAACGTTCATATTTGCAGAAGTTTGCTTGTGAAAAGTTTTTATAGTATAGCAAAGGCTAACATTTTACTTGCATTTTGCAAGTGTTAAGTACGAGAGGAGGTCTCTACAGCTACATTCCTTCAGCCAATAGACCTTTCCCCTTTTAAGTGAAAATTTGATCTAGACAAGTCTGGACAAAAATTTCATCACAGCTTGAAAGAGCGTCACAAAATTAGTAATATTCCGAAGTTTCGGTGCAAAATGTTGTAAAATGCGGATAATATAGCCTTGCGAAGTTTGCCGTTTTTCAGTCATTTTGTATTACGCACGGGAAATTGATAACCAGTTTGATCATCTGATTATCAATTTCCATTTGTAATGCAAAATGACTGAAAAACGGCAAACTTCACAAGGCTATATTATCCGCATTTTACAACATTTCGCAACGAAACTTCGGAATATTACTAATTTTGTGATACTCTTTCAAGCTGTGATGAAATTTTTGTCCAGGCATATCTAGATCAAAATTTCACTTAAAAGGGGAAAGGTCTATTATACCTGCTAGGAGAAAATTTGAAGTACACGTCAATTGATTTAGAAAGAAACGCATCAATACTTCAAGTGCCATCTCACCAAGAAAGGCATAAAAAGGATGGATTCTATGCGATATTAGCTCGTAACAGCTCGCTTGGACGATGGGAACACGAAATGTGGGAATTATATGTGGAGCCAATTTATTGGGAGGATATTACACTATCAAAGTTTCTGTGATCACAGTAGGAATTTTGCATATGTAAATTCAAAGTTTTGAAGGATTTGTAAGAAATGTTTGAGGGAATTCACTCACAGTCTAGCACTGCAATAAGTCAGATCCCACAAACATTTCTTACAAATCCTTCAAAACTTAGAATCTACACACGCAAAATTCCATTGAGATTACTGAAACGTTGTAGTGTAAACCCCATGTTTAAGAATGAGCTCACGCATACAATGAACCGACAGTCACCACTTGTAAAAGGAACACTCAAGCAATATTGAACAAACGCACATGGAGGAAATTTGCATAAAAAACAGCATGTAGCGAAACTAACGTATTATGATATTTTGTGTTCAATATACAGAACACAGAAGACTTTTTTAATGTGTTTATTACATTAACAAACGACGTTTCGGAGATTTGCTCCATCTTCAGGTTAATAAACGTCTATCCATGCGCATGTCAGTTTAAATGCAAATTGTAATCCTATACCTGAAGATGGATTAAATCTCGTTTGTTAATAGAGAGGTTAAGATACCCCGGTTTCGGTGTACGAGTATAGCATGATTTTGGTTAGCAATATTTTCGTCGATGTCTGTACCTTTACTCGTAATTAAAGGGAAATGGCAATATATTTTTTTATTTTCTCGTTTGAAAGAACATTTAAAACCATATATAAAACTCTTTTACCGTTTTTTCATATCTTGCTTACTTCTACAAATATTTTAATCGAAAGAAATGAAATGTCCGCCATCTTGAATTTTTGTGGATATGCATGTTACGTCACAACAGGGGTCACGCAATATTTTTATCTAGACAACCACTAATCATTTTGCACCCAAAATTATACTCTGTATGCTCTTGGAAATATCAAGATCACTTGAAACGTTTAAAACATCTACCAGTCTATATTTGGTCAGTAACGAATACTTTTATATGGTTAATCCCTGTTGTGACGTCACCAAAACTACCGTTAAGCCTGCCGCACACGAGAGCTATCTGCTGAGCAAAAAGTTACTCGTGCCTGTTAGCTCAGCCGATAGCTCACCAATCAAACATGTTTGATACGTGAGAAAAGGTTGCATGAGGCGAAAAACTCAGTAAAATGTACCCGCACACGGTAAGCTATCGGCTGCGCTAACAGGCACGAGTAACTTTTTGCTCAGCAGATAGCTCTCGTGTGCGGCAGGCTTTAATGAGATCAAAATTTTATCCAAGATGGCCGACATCTCATTACTTCAAGTGAAAATATTTCAAGAACTAAGCAAGATATGAAGAATCGGTAAAAGAAGTTATTAAATAGTTTCAAAAGTTCTTTCAAATAAGAAAATAAAAAAATATATTGCCATTTCCCTTTAAGGTGCACATTTTTCGCATTATATCATTGTCTATTGTAAGAAAACAGAAAAAGCATGATCGAATTACAGACATCAGTAAAACAAGATGACACTACTCGTATCCGTACATCGAAACCGGGGTATCTTAACCTCTCTCATGTCGTAAACACATTAAAAAAGTCTTACTGTGGTCTATATATTGAACACAAAATATACTATTAACATGAGACTTAGGGAAAGTTCGTTCCTAAGCATTTTTTAACGCACTATTATTAAAACATAACAGGATAAAGTCTTCAATTAAAACAACTTCTTACAATGAAGGTATCGTGAACAGAAAAGTACATATAAAACATAAAACTTAAACTATCTATAGAAATGTTTAAATTGCACATTAAGTCTACCTAAAAATGCATGTTAAACCATTCACATTAACTTTGTCCAACACCACAATATCTGCTATTAGAATTATGTATATCGTGTCGTCTAAACTATAACCACGCAAATAACTTGGCACTCGTTTTCAAATATGAAGAGTGCACGAGCGTTGCTATGCGACGTTGGTTAGCTGTTCTTAGTGATTTGCCAGCACTATCATACGTGTTCTATTTAAGGTAAAACGCCGGAGTTGAAACACTGACCAAACGTTTATTTCGTTAATATATAGAGCTTCAAATGTCCCCCACGTAACAACGCGTGCCTACCGACTTTCATCCTGGCTTGAGAGCTGCCTAGCCCAGAGCCCAGTGCACGGCCCCCGCGCTTACTATATTATCAAATTTTTTTGTTCCCTGGTTCGGCCGGGGCCCAACGGCGAATGTAATATACGGCAGGTATATGCTTTTATAGGTTATTACTTGTTTTAAAGTCTGACGCCCGTATTCTAAAAGCTCACTCACACTCAATGAGTGGAGGTTCAATCTGAGCTTCTCTTGAGTGGGTGAGTAGTCACCGAGTAAGTTATGACACAGCTAGCCCTCCAGCTATTCAAAAACAGCATTAACACTCAAGAGAAGCTCAGATTGAACCTCCACTCATTGAGTGTGAGTGAGATTTTAGAATACGGGCGTGAGTATTGCAATATATAGTTATATAATTAATCATTTTAGTTCAAATTATTGATGTATATATCTTTTTGTAAATAAACAGGCAATTTTTCAACGCATTAAAATACTTTTATATTTATGAATCTTTCTGATTTCAGTGTTTAAAATTCCGTTGGGGTGGGGGTCAAGGGGCCCAGAGCTGTTAATATGTCATTGGCCCCGCGAAACGCTAATCCATAAATGAGTAAACCTAAGTATTTTTTATGGTCTATATATATTCGCAATATAGCTCAAGCATAGTTTTAACAATATATAGGAAGCGTTGGGCATGAAGAGGCGGGCTCAGAATACCACGAAATATATACATGATATATAAGGGATGAGGTTGTAATTGGGAAGAAAGTCTGTTCCAAGTCACGTAGATATAGTCATTGCTACATGGGGAAACATTTTGGACGAATTTAATAATAACTACCACATCTCACTATGTGCACAATTTAATTACATCAAAACTATAATGGAACTAACACCAAGACTCCAATATAACATGTATATATTATCTGATTTTCTTTTTAATAACTGTAAAATAATCGATTGATTACTGTGTGATTATTATTTTTTTTATTAAAAATCGATTTATTACTATATTACTGTTCTGAAGAATCTCTTGCTATACGAAAATTGATACCTGACCTCAATCCCAGAACTAAAACTTATTAATATAATAATGAAATAATAACCTTATATAGCGCTTCTCATATTTCTTCAATTGTACATTAGCTATGGTATGTAGTAATTTCATTCATTCCTAACGATGACTAATGTCTAGAAACGTTGAATAAACACTTTTCAAAATGTTTTTCCGAGATGGTATTGTTTTGTTTTTTAATTAAAAAAATACTACGCATGCATGCAGTGGCCTATTAGCCTTTAACACGACACCATTTTTGAGTGGCATTTCAGCCGAAGTCTGCGAGATAAGTCCACATAACAGCGACATTTTATAATTTTTGGACAAATGATGGTAAATTTGCTTTGTAAATGGTTAGTTTATTTTGCTTTTCACATTGTTTTAATTGTCTGCATTGGTTAACGAGAATTGGATGCCACCCAAAAATGGCGGATATTCGTCATCGTGAGAAGGGCTAATTGACGCAAGCGCTCTGCACGGATTTGGGGTATTTTTCTGATGTCACTGATGACACATTTGCCAAGTAAACGTTTTACAACCGAGTTAATATCTTACATAGAATGCTGGCAACCCCCCCCTATACTCTTAGTAGAGAGCTTAAATTAACCAAGGGATGTTTTTGTAAGCAGCTTCATCAGGTTTACAAAAAATAGTTATCTACATTAATAAGTTAAAAAATTTTCAAGCCTATGTTACATTAATATTTATACCTGTTTTCCATGAAGGGCGTGTCTATCGAACATGATGTTTCACTGACAACTGTCGAAATTCAGTAAGAGATTCGGCTTGTCTTATGTTGCTATAGGTAGGCTCAAGCTGTTCCATAACACTGCACCACAATAGCTAAAGCTATTTTAAAGATAATTGGTGCGGGGTAAAGGAGCAGCAAGTTTGTTCACGGAGTCTCGAAGTATATAAGAAGTTACATTATTGCGATTAGTAAATTTAGAACATATAGATATTCGTGTGCAAGGTTATTTAAAGATTTAAAAACCATCAACGCTTTTTGAAATTGGCGTTGTTGGTTTGGATCATCTCACCTTAGCTGTTCCAATAAGCTATTGGCATCGGCGTCAAAGTTGGTATATAACTCATTTCGGGGCATTTAGCATCATATCGCTCGTGCAAGGAAACAGAAATCTTCTGTCGTGTCATATATGTTGAAGATTTAGCACGAACTGACAGAAATCCAGTCCCCTTCGGCAATCTGACGTTCATATTGAGGACAGAAAACGTTAAATGTAAAATAGTAAAGTATATAGCTAGGGCACAATGCACCTTAATGGGGGTCAACGATATAGTTTGATTAATTCATTCAGTTTTTGTGTTCGTGTGGATGCTCAACAAGAACTCCAATTAAGGAACCGGCTTCGGATCGGTCCAGATCGATCGGAAAGCACGAACCGGTAAACGGTCCCTGGAATTTGGTCCTAGGAACAGTACATTTGAACCTATAGCTAACCGGAAAAGTCATTCTTTACCTTATTAGTGAAAATAAAAATCATTGCATGTTTCATATGAAAACGACCATCTGTGTGAGATCTTACGCTAGGTGGGATCTTTGTCAATTAGTAGGATAAAAGTTTACAGATATGAAGCACGCGATGAAATAAATACAGTCATGGAAACACACATAAACAACTCCAACTTATTTTCTCACTCTGAAAGAACTTGTACAATATCTGACGTGCGGATGAGATGATTGTTCTATAATATCGAGGTATACTTATAGGGAGGGTTTTATAATATCTGAGTTACTTTTTTAACTGCATGATCAAAAGATATTGATATAGTTTTATTGTGAATATCTAATTTGAACATTTGTTTTTCATGAACATCTACGTATAGTTTGCATCATTTAATTAATGATGTAATACTATACTCAAGTCATGTAATTCAGCCTTTGGCTGCAAAATGATCTTTTTAAAAACGGTTATCTAATCTATTCTTATTTTCGGTCAAACAAACAATTCCTGGTTTGGAATTTTAAGTTTTTTCTTCCCCTGTAAAATAGTGAGCAATTGATTGTATTACACTAATAAAAGCTATTTAAAAACCTCTGAAATTTGATAAAGTGTATCCTCATTGAGTATTGGCAAAAAAAAAGGATCGCGATAAATCGTGTCACGAAAATGTTTTCCTGGCCATGAGATATCGTAAACTGTTATACTGGTAACAAACCATAAGCAAAGTCAACTCTGAAATGAGTTTTTATTGAACGAATCACTCGGGCTATAACCGGACCAGCCCAGCGGCATATGAACCGCCCCTAAATCTATAATCAAGCATATATATACTTGAATGTAGCCTACCAGTTCAAGAACATGTATTCCAAAAGGTCTTTTAAGAACAAGTCTGTATAGCTAAAGTGGCACTTGTATTTTGGGTGTTTAAATTACCTAAATTACAGGGCGGTTCTTCAGTAACGTACTGGTTCATTGATGCGAGTCGTCGCTGTATTAGATCTTTGCATTGCCCCAACAAAAGCAAGCGAAATTCAGTGATAGGCACTACAATCTCACACAGCGAACTTAAGCTATTACAATCTAACAATTTGAATTTGAAAATAAGTAGCGAATAAGCACAATTAACAATATGTGCAACGAAACGTTGAATATAGGAAGCGTTGTACATTCATTCAAACCAGAGCTCATGAAGAGGAGTGATTATGATATTGATCATTGTTGTTGTTCGTTTACATGATCCGGCTCACAGCATGAAAGCATGCGAGTCTTTACAAAAACTCCAGAAAAACAAAATACCCGTTTTTTTTCGCTGAAAAACGTGATGTATGCATTTTTGTGCACGCCCCTATAATTCTAGTCTATATATATATAGTTCCCTATTATTTTAAAATCACTTTTGATTTAAACTTGCTTTAGTAAGAAAAGTTGAAGATCATGGAAATTATTGAATCGATGCCAAGAAAATCTCGATATTTGCCAATAACCTTAAGTAAGTAAGAAAGTCTATATATATCAAACTAAAATTGAATCTAGACCCTTTTGGTATAGCGACTATATATCGATCATTTGTTCTTGTTTTTCACCATTAAAGCTCCAGACTCGCATCATGAAACATTCTACACAAAAAGCCCATTACACAACAAAACCAATATATTTTCTTACGTATATATGTCTTGCATTTATGCATCATATGCCCACGCTTACAAGTTGTTGTTCCATATTTCAAAGGAATTAATAAGTTAAATTTGCTTATATCGAGGTGAGAAAACCTATCAAATTACGTTGAATCTACGCAGAATTGAGTTATATACTTATAAAATTACTCAATGCATAAAAATATTTGAAAAGCTATAGTATATGGTTGAGGGAAATGACGCAAGGATTTAATTCGTTTCCGGAATCTCATATATCGATTTAATGCTTTCTTAATTTTTAAAATTATTAAAATTTTCAAATCTTGTGGCGCGAGTAGATATCAATCATTTCATTTTATTCAATATTGTTCTTGAATTATATCACAATATTATACTTATATCGCTTTTTCAATCAATCAATTGGATATCAGTATAAACAAATACATACTACATAAACTCCAAATGCAAAGTTATGAGCATATTCGCAATAGCTTGAAAAGTCAATTACTGCGCGCTCAAAAGACATAATGAATAAACTGCGCAATATAAGGTAATTAACAATGAAAACTTATTATATAAAAGCGAATTAAAGCTATAATATATTCGACGAGATATTAGTTAAGTTTACTTTGGGGTTTCCCCATCTATACGTCAATAATATATATCCTTAATCATTGCATCAAATACGACAAAATGACATATCGCTATGTTTACGTTTATAATATTTGAATAGCACCCCCAGAGGGAATCGCCACAATGCCAATTGGGAAAGGCTTCCTACTGTAGAATCAGCAAAAAATTTCTACCAGAAAAACATAAACACTACATAAAACTTTTGTCTGGTTTGCTATTATATTTAAAGTTGTTTCCCCTTTGCACATAACGCATAGCAACATTAGAAAAAAATAGACAAAGATTTTTAGGAATTTAAACAACATTAAATCTATTTTCCGGCCTAGGAAGCGAATTATAATTGTCACAATTTGGCCATATGGACATAATTCTGCGACATTTCCGTGGTCTAAAATTATTTCCCTAGGATAAGAATCTCAAAAAGATTTAAAGAATTTGAATTTAAATCTTATCTGATAGTATTTGCTATACTAGCATTTGTTACTAATTCAAATCCGCGTATTCAAATAAAGTTTCTATTCTATTCTATTATATTTACTGCAGTTTAATATCGACACATATATATATATACCACAATTACACGGGTAATATTATCTTATAGTACCAAATATTTCGAAATATAAAAATTGTTGCAATTACTGTAACAACTTATTAATAAACAGCCCTAAAAACAATTCCTTGCGAGATATAAAGGTACAACTCCAAATATGAACGTCTCATATAGCGCTTATAGCGTTGATCGATATTTCGTCTTACAAGCGCAATACTGAATAGTAACTAAAAGCGTCACGCCTAGCGGAAATACAACATAAAGAGGTTTTAGCAATTGGCTACAGGGGGAAATTTAAGTAATGCAATCAAAAATAACTTCATTTGTCTTTGAGGATATATAAGTCAAGACTTGCAAAATTCTCGTCAGAATAACAGTAACGTGAGTAACGCTTACAGTTCAGGGCAAATTGAAAGTTTGAAAACTATATAAAGCCCTACTATACAGAAAAGGAAAATGGTGGAATTCAAAGTTGCTTTCAACATGCGGCAATTAATGATAAATGTAAGTATTATTAATACTATACTTTATATTAATATATGATCATTATTACATTAATTTATTACTGTTTTATAGGAATTTAATATCAATTCAATTTAATCAACCGATTCAATTTTATGCTTGCACGCTTTCCTAACAGTTTAGATCATTTTAAGATTATACTATTAGAATTTTATTGCTATGAATTTGTTACTGTTAAGTTTTTTATTAATCGGTCAATTTCTTGAAAATATGAAATTTTGGTGGGTTAATCGCCGTAGACCCGAGAGAAATCGATTAAATTTTGGTTCATTTTATATAAAAATTGGATAAGAAATGAATAAATGTTTGTAGTCGTGCTTTTACGGGCAAAGAAAAGTGAACGCGGAATTGTAGACCATGTATGTATGAATGATACTTGACTTAATTCCTGCGCGCCCCCTTATAAGAGTTTATTAATTGTATGTTACACTTTCGATAATTTCCATAAGACTACAGAAACCTATAATCACAGTTAATATAATATCGTTAAGCAAGCCAGCAAACTTCAAAGATATTACTGAAGAAACAACCATGAAGGTTTAACGCGATTTGAACTTGAACAATGTTTTAAAATTTGGTCAGAAATGTCTCGACGATGAAACAAAAACGTCCTTTATTGAAAGACGGTTATAAAAATATACAATACAATACAATACAATACAATACAATACAATTCAATAAAACTTTATTTTAAACACGGTAGAATCTTCAGTACATTAATTAGATAGAAAAATAATTACAACTGATTTCCAAGATTGCCGCGTGTGGAAGTCATTTTACAAATTATAGTAATAATTTAAGGAATTTTTAAATAGTGGTAACGAACGAAGCATTCGTATAATTTGAGGCAGGTTATTCCACAATAAGGCTCCACTATAACAAAGGCTTCGTTTTAAATAGCTAGTTCGTGGTTTGGGCAAATTTAGCTTTATTTCAGAGTTTCTTAAGTTGTACCCAGTGCCGTGAACAGAGAAAAGATTTTGTATAGGTACAAGATGGTGCATCAACATTGACTATATCACAATTCGTTGTACGTTCTTAAAAAGTCTTAGAATACTCTAGAACGAAACCACCATTAACCACCACTAACTACCATTAACCACCATTAACCACCACTAACTACCATTAACCACCATTAACTATGCACAACGGCATGATATAACTTTGTTTACTTAAAACTTTCTATCTTTTCCCCGTGTAGACGCTGGTGGTGCTAGCTACACTGAACATGGTCGTAACCAAACACAAAGGTCTTGCTGGTTTGTTGCATAGAGCAAAGCGAAGTACGAATAATTGTATTGAAAGCAGTTCACACAGGAGCGATATTTTTCCGCCCAACGCTGTTCAAGGAATTAAATGCAAGAAAGGATGCTACGAAGTTGTAAAAAAAGTCAAGTACGCAGTGATAAAGATTGAAGACGTTGTTGTTGGTTGTAGAAAAACAAATCAACTCCCGAACAGCGAGGTAATACTTGATCTTGATGCGGACGCTAAGAACAGACATCGTCGTGTTTGCAAAGACAATTTTAAAGCCATCAAGGCGAATATTACAGTGTTGTATGAAAACGGGGATCTACTAGAAGCGAAGCAAGAAGAGATTATAATTGATTGTGTGTAAAAGTAACATACACACACACACACACACACATATATATATATATATATATATATATATATATATATATATATATATATATATATATATATATATATATATATTGAACTTTACATTTTAACCAGAAATACAATGTAAAAATACTTATTTATATTTATTATATTTGTAAATATTAAATATTTAATGCTATTTAGTTAATTTAATTCAACTTAAGCAACAAAATTTCTCACCATTTTTTGGTTGCATTGCCAGGAAAATTGAAAATGACCAAATACGAAACATTGCTGAACTCTCTATAAGCTTGCATCGCGTTCTTGAGATATTTAAAAATATTTGAATCATGACTTTGTGATAAAATTTCAAGATCTCAGGATACATCGAAATCACTGAAAATCGTATATAGGCATGTGTTCTGCATGCGACATATACTACTAATATATATCGTATCTCGACAAATTTGAATCAACTATCTACATGTATAACAAGTGCACAAGTTTTTTTTTCAGAAAGTCATTAATGTAATTAGCATAATTTGCACATAATGAACGTTGTTAAATATCTCGAGAATGAAGGATCTTATTTGGTCATTCTGAATTTAACACCAGCTAGGCGTATACTTAATTTATAATAAACCTTAAATAGTAATGTCATAGCTTTGCAAAGCATGCTTATACTGCAACAGTTGTTGTATATTTATAAAAAATTGAATAAATTTCAATCTTTATGACTTTGTATAGTTATTACACTTACATATTCAGTTTACTTTGCTATAATTGCTAACTTCCTTGCTAATTTTTCAACATTTATCCGAATTTTATCAAAATTGAATCAATTCGCATGCACATATCAGCAGTTGCACGCGAAATTCAAAAAGCTATACATAAAGTATATGTACAGGAACCGAGGTATATAGGAATCGCTGTTGACATTTGGAACAATTGAAGTCATAAACGCCAGGCCAGAAATTTGGCACATGCAGCAGCAAATATACGCAGTGAAGAATTCAATATGACGGAATACGAGTGAACAACATAGGAATTAATTCTCACAAATATTAAGTCAACAAGACACTTCAAGCGAGCTCCACAAAAATAATAAGAAAAACATTTCCATATTATCCACCTCGAATTCTGTTGCGATGTGCCAATTTAGTGCGTTAACAATCGAACCAATACGGTTTTATACAAGCTATTACCTAACTTTGAACGTCCAAATGTTCATGATTTTTGTCAGAACGTACAGCCAATTCAATTGCCTTCACACAAGGAGCACACGTTCAGTTATGTTGTACAAAGCTTGGTCGAAGTAGGAAAGTCATTTTGACAACATTTAGATTCAAGATCATTGTGCGAACTGGATCCTAATTTGCCCGAATTTAGCAGAGACACAAAGCAGTCTAATCATGATATTGCCACTAGAAACAAACGAAAATGCAGAATAGGCAATGACTTAAACGAGGCCAACATTACACTATAAATATTTCCACAGATTTTGTTCTGCAACCAGCGATTGAGGCAAATTGCAAACGACATCGTATTTTCCGATTTTGCATCGCGTAATCTAATTTACTGTTTACTGATTACAGGGTGTCCCAAAAAAAACGAATTTTAATGCCCTAGCACTAAGCTGAACGCAAAGATGTGTAAAATATTGACAGGGGTGCATATATTAAATATTGACTTATTAAGAGATTAAAATATCTTTGTAAAGCGCACGATTTTCTGCTGTTGGGAATTTAAAGCTTCTTAAATTCTAGACGAGAAAAACTTTAGGATTTATTACATAAATCTCTCTTACAAACATTCTTTTAAACAGTTTCTTTATGCATAACATTTACTTATGTCAAGTTATTATGCACTTGTGGATTCGGCAGAGCGCTCATGAGGCATTCAAATTCTAACAATTCATGACTGTTTCAATAGTTTTGGGTTTTTTTTGGGACACCTTGCAGAAGTGTGCATATTTCCACGTGTCATCCATGGAAGATATGCAAATTAGCGAGGAAGTAAAATGTCCGTGATTCTATAGCCATGAAAGAACGATAAAATATTAAAGTGTTCCTTGCATTTTCTTTCTTTATTAACTTGGATGTACCATTTCCAAGACTTCACATGTAAATACACTGATATATTAATTATACATTTTGTTAACTAGGGGTCTTATAATGAAAGCCCGAAAGTGTTTCATTTTTATTGGAATTATACTTAATTAAACGATAATATAAAAATGTTGCCAAAGCTTTCACAGTTAAAATCCCAACTGATAGAAGTTCGTTTGCAAGACCACATTAGACTATAGGTAAAAAAACTATGGAATGTGTTTCTAAATCAGCACTGATACAGATGAAAAACAAATCAAATTCAAATTTGTAACAAATCAAAAAGTGAAATATGTTCACCATTTCTTCGTCATATCCGCGTACTAGATTTAGCACATCTTAATTAAGTTCCCTTTAAGTTTATCTCTTAGTTTTAAACCCCTGACATCATATTTCACCCTTGTTTTATATTCAATATAATGATATATTATATAGAACAGTCTAATGTTCTTTTAACCTTTGGCTTCTATTAAAGTAGATCATAATTTTTTACATAATATACGATTGATTCGTCCTATTGATAGCAAAACTTGTCTTCTGAAAGGGTAACCCTGTTGAAATAAAGTTGTTTTTTTTACATTACATATAATATAGGAATTATTGACCTATATGTAAATATGTAAAAATGTCAATCTTGCAAATTGTGTAATAAATGAACTCATTCTTTTATTCAAAGATCCCCAGCTGTAATATTTTTAAATTGTAAATAATTACATCAATAAGTAAAAATATACCGCCCACGTATCTTGAACACTCCTATAGTCTGACTTTGAGTACATCAACTTGAAATAAGTCCCTATACTCAGAATATATAATAATAAACTGCAGTTTCTTTCATTATAATAAAACCACATGTTCTATATACACGCAGTATAGGTAAATGAACATCTTGAATACATTTGCGCATGCTCAGTTGATTGATCTGGCATAAGCAACTGAACTCTATATTACAGACTGTATCGAATCCGAAGTAATAGGGAAACGGTATCTCTATCAGACTGAAACGAATATCAACCGCGGGCTCTCAAGCTTACGAATTTATTCTTAGAAAAGAGGATTTTCATAGTTTTGTCGAGTTTTTTTAGGAAATACACCCTTCCCCAAATTAGGATTGGCTATCGAGCCTCGCTTCCGTGGTTGTGATTTTGCTGCCAAGCTAATTAATGAAAATCCTTAATTATTGATTGATCTGGCATAAGCAACTGAACTCTATATTACAGACTGTATCGAATCCGAAGTAATAGGGAAACGGTATCTCTATCAGACTGAAACGAATATCAACCGCGGGCTCTCAAGCTTGCGAATTTATTCTTAGAAAAGAGGATTTTCATAGTTTTGTCGAGTTTTTTTAGGAAATACACCCTTCCGAAATTAGGATTGGCTATCGAGCCTCGCTTCCGTGGTTGTGATTTTGCTGCCAAGCTAATTAATGAAAATCCTTAATTATTGTCTAGTTTTTATTAATTGTGATTCCAGTAGCCAATTGTATGTTAAGCCCATAGATATCTTATATACACTAGATAGTGCATCTAATTTTTCTGCAATAGAAAAATTGAAGCCGTGATTGCAGACTCAGGATATTCCCATGAAATGAGAAGACTCGTATGTTTTCTATTTCTTAAACAGGGAACTTAAACATTAAGTTAAACCTATTCCAAATACATTTTCAAACTATTCAAATGATGAAAGTTGTTGTTTTTTAAGCGTTTATTAGCGAGTGGGAACTACCAACATGGCCGCCATCGATTCACATGGGGGTAACCGTTGGAATATTCTTGGCTTCAATTTTACTAAAAGAGATGCGCTATCTAGTTTATATAAGATATCTATGGTTAAGCCTGGTTCAAATATGCCTGCGGTATGTCGGCGGACTATTGTCGTTAGCAGTTCAACCAAATAATTCACAAACGAATGTATGCAACAACAGCTGTAAACGATAATAGCGCAGGCATATATGAAACAGACTTAACAAGCGAGATTTATCCCACTGTATCAGTGGCGAGCTAGCCAAGGCAATGTCACGCTATGCTAATAAATCTGCACCTATAAATAGGTTAAAGCAATCATTTCTAAAAGTTTGAATAATTCAAATCGTTAACAATTTGCATAGCCATGACTTGTTGTTATGGCTAGCTACTGCTGTATGCATGTATATATGTAGAAATGAAAATAATTTCCGTTATTATTTATGGGAAACTGTGTTTAATCATGCTCACCGAGGCTTTAAAAATTTCAGAACGTTTGCCGAGGAATTCGCGAGATCAGAATATCAACGGATGCTAGGAATTGGAAGATCTCGACTTTCGAAAGTGATAGTTCTCATGTACATGACATGAGCTACTGCATACAATAATTTTATAACTTTACTGATGAAAAACCACAAGCTGCTCGTTCGATTACGGCGCTACAATAATAGTTTAAAGTCATCAAGAAGGAATCACAGGGGAGAATTTTAGGTACAAAATGAAGCATTGTACATCAGGCAATTTTGGATGAAACAGTAATTTTGTACGCGCTATAAGCGGAGCGATATTTCGCTTCCAACCGTAACGTCACACCGTGCATATTACGGAAATATAACACAAAGGGTTTTAGCACCGCGACTAAACTTATTGGAGTGTAATGCTTCAAAAATAGATCAGGATCGTGTGCATATAAGCGATGAATTCTTTCAGATCAGCACAATCTCAGTGTAACGGTTATACAGTACATCCAAAATTCAAAGCTTGGAAATTGTATAAACAGCTCGCCAGTAAACAAAAGGAAAATGATAGGCTTCAAAGCGACGTTCAGTGTGTCTCAATTGATCAGAGTAAGTGTTTGTGATGATTAACTTTAGCTTGTGATATATAAGGCAATTCAGAATTGCCACTGCGAACTTCTTATCACGTTCTTCGTTTGTTAAATCATTCAAATTCAAGAGTTTTAATCATGAAATAAAATTGTTTTATGAATTGTGTCTTCTTCTTCGCTAAAGATATAACAAGACACTTGAAAGCATACTTACATACTATAGTGCTTTAAAGTCTTAGACATTGAATGTAAGCACCTTGACATTTCACGTTCATGTTCTTCAGATGTTTTCATCTCAAAAATAACCAATGCCAAACACAAACTTTGGAAAATCTTTCTAAACAAACTTAGCCTTACTAAACCTGGTTCACATGACTATATAGCAATTTGTCGGCGATTCTGTGTTTCTGACGGATGCAAATGAGTGAACTCGTATACAAAAGTATAGAGTCGCTTTTCAGAAGTAAACAGTTCGAAGTCTTTTGCATGACATTCATTCGATCTTTGTCAGAAGGAGAAAACTCGCTGACAAAATTTCTAATGTGAACCAGGCGCATTTCGATCTGTTTTGTAAAAATTGCAATTATTTACTATAAATTGTAAACGTGTTTAGTACTAATTCATTTTGTTCTCATATGTAAATAGTAGTAATCTTACCGTTTATTGTTTGCAATATTGTAACATTGTGAGGACTGTACGTTAGAGAATTATTATGGGTTAAAGTACAACTATAACTCAAAATATGATGTGTAATATTTGGGTCATTATAAGAAGAAATGTAATATATCTTTATAATAAAAAATCTCATCTTGATCAACTTTTGCAATGTAAAAGTTTCCGGATATGATGTGATTAGAAGAATTGCAAATTAGTTTTCCTTTGTTTTTTTTTTGTACCAAAAATTCACCTAATGACATCATATCAGGAAACTTTGACCGTGAAAAAGTTGATTAAGATGAGTTTTTTACTGTAAAGATACATCACATTCCTCTTAGAATGACCCAAATATTCCACTTTCGAGATCAGTAAGCCCGGATCTTCATCACGCACGGATCCAAAGCTTTGCAGTAATAAATTTACGTGGTGTTTCCACAAACAAAGTATTATGCATTTTATCGCCATGCAAACCTACAAAGAACTTATTTTTTTCTTTTCTTGTTTCATTTAGATGTTGGTGGTACTAGTTCTAGCTAGCATGGTGGTAAGCTCTGAATCAGCACTGTCTAATTTATTCCAGCGAACGAAAAGAAGTACTGGTGGCTGCCTTGGTACCACTGAGGCTATCGATAGGGGCAATGTTTTCCCAAAGCAACCACAGACCATTAATTGGTCCAACCGAAGTATTACGCAATGTCAAAAGGGTTGCAAAAAAATTATACGCAAAATCAAGTATGCTGTAATAAAGGAGGAAAATATTGTGCTTGGGTGTGGTTTAGAAGGGAGCATAAACGTCTTCCTAGACAAAATTCGCTGTGATGAAGGATTTGAAGCTACAACGGTCGATATTATTGTGGTCAAAGAATCTGCAAATGGGGGCCGGTTAGACTCAGTGCTTAAAAAGGTTAAATATTGTATTAAAAAATAGTCCTAAATATACTGAACTTTAGGTTTAGAAATGAGAAGAACTGAAAATACTTATATTTATTAATATATTTATATATGGAATATTTAATGCTATTTTAATAAAATTAACGCGATAATGTACATAACGTCACAAAGTGGTTAAAGTCTACACGCGAAAAAACGAGCAACTTGTTACAAATCTGCAAACAAGCTGTAAAATGTTGTTGTGAAGCCGATATCAGGATGTGTTCGCACTGCTTGTTCCCAGTTGTTGTGACAAGTCTGGAACAAGTTGTTAGCACCTTGTTACAAGGTTGATGACGGTAACAGACTTGCTACAAGTTGTTCCAACAAGACCGATACAGGCTGTTCGTAACAAGTTGCTACGAGCTTGTTGTCATCAACTTGTTACGTGCAGACGATATCAGACTTGTTGGAACAACTTGTTGCGAGTCTGTTGGCCTCATCAACCTTGTTACAAGATGATAACAACTTGTTCCAGACTTGGCAACAACTGGAACACATTTTCTGAACACATGTTGTTGACAAGCAGTGACATTTTTAAGTGTGTATACCTTAGAAAACAATCATAAGTAACATACTATAAACAAATTGAAATTAATAGTAATAAAGACAGATTTATATTTATAATTTAGAATATTAATATATGTGACACCAAAAATATTAATGTCATACCGTTGTACAGTATGTTCACGAGTTACGATTGAGTAAAAATTGTGTATTTATAAAGAATTTAATAAAAATTATGTATTTCTAGAGAATTAATAAAGATATTTTATTTATATGACCATGTGCTTATAACTGCCGCCTAGTAATGAATATATCGTAACAATATCATCCCGGATATATGATATTAACTGTATACTTATCTAAATATAGGTGGTAAATTTTGCAATAAATTAATTATTCATAGGCATGCGCAGTAACGTGTAACTGTTGTGGCAATCCTCCCACAAGGTTACGAGTCGTATTTTTTAACGTATATAAATACGAATGCAAAAGAAGTAGATATCGAGGTCCGAATGGATGAGGGCGCTTGAGGCGTTTGCACGTTGGGTGGCGGTTGTCTTGTGGTGCTTCCCTTGTGGCGGCAGCCCTTGTAGCGATAGCCCCCAGTAGCGATGCCCTTACAGGGATAGTCTCGTAGCGATAGCCCTTGGGGTGGGGGTTAAACTTCCCTCATCAACCCTTGACCTCTTTTAGTTGCTCTTTGTTTTATATTATAAGTTCGGGGTGTATATTGCGGACTAAAATGCGAGTCTTTGGGTTTCTACCATAGATATCTTATATACAGTAGATAGTGCATCTAATTATTGTGCAATTCAAACATTGAAGCCGTGATTGCAGACTCAGGATATTCCCATGAAATGAGAAGACTCGTATGTTTTCTATTTCTTAAACAGGGAACTTAAACATTAAGTTAAACCTATTGCAAATACATTTTCAAACTATTCAAATGATGAAAGTTATTGTTGTTTTTTAAGCGTTTATTAGCGAGTGGGAAACTCCAACATGGCCGCCATCTATTCAAATGGGGGTAACCGCTGGAATATTCTTGGGTTCAATTTTACTAAAAGATATGCGCTATCTAGTTTATATAAGATATCTCTGGTTTCTGCTAAATTGCTCGGAACAAATATTGCAACCGCTTTTGACAAGTCTATATACAATCGTCAGCCTCTCAGAATAATTGCCTAACTCATTTTTTGGGCCAAAATGGATTTGGGTAACTACAATCATGGAAATTAATTCGTAGACTTTTCAAAAATTTCTCAATTTCCCCCCTCCCCGTTTACAATGTTGGTTTGAAGTCCAATAACCATGGTTCGAACCAACATTGTGGTAGGGGAGGGGGGGAGTTACTATTTCTAGCGATCATAGACGTTTGTATTAACTAAAAATAAAATGGCTTTACAAAATAGTCAGACAAGATGCGTTTTAAAAAAGTCTACGGATATTATTTCCATGATTGTCTAAATTTAAAGACAAAAATTGCGGGGGGATATTTGGAGACGCGGTGTATAAATCCTCATTAAAGCTCTAAAGCATGGCAGATTCTACATGTTATATTGAATATTTATGGTTTACTTGATAAGAGTTCATGGTATTACAGAGAGATAATCAAGAAACTTACATCATACACAGTCTGCTTTTACTTCAACGGGAAATCTCTCCAAAATAATATAATAGCTCGTTAGGTAATAAAGACTCTTTCAAGCATACACCCAAGGTTTTAAGGAAAGATTTAATAAATGATCCACTGCTCCATACAATAAGCCTGTATTTACAAAACGTAATTCTGCGTAATGACTGATGTATATAATATTTGAAAGTTAATAATTAAAAGTTAATAACTAACGCATTGTCGTATATTTTATGAGGGGGATTCAATTTTTTTTCCGTCAACCGAAATTTTGGAGGTAATAGACCTAACTGATTGCAGTGACTATTTCACTAACCTCTATATATTACATATAGGACAAGTTACTGCATGTTACTACATGTTACTGTTCATGTTACTATAAGTGTACTACATTTTTACCATATAATTCTTTAAATAAATTTTTCGTATGGTACCACGTGTTACTGTACATGCTACTGCACATGTTCCAATCAATTTATTATATTTTACTACATAATTTCAACAAGTTACTACATGTTACTGCTGTTTTCTATAAAAATGGAAGCATGTACTTTATATAAAAAACAGCAGTAACATGTAGTAACATGTTGAAATTTTCAACATGTTGCTATGTGTTACTGCTGTACATTATATAAAGTGTACATACTTCAATAATTATAAAAAAAACATCAGTAACTTGTTCAAATTATATAGTAAAATATAATATATACATAGTAACATGTGCAGTAACATGTACAGTAACATGTGGTAACATGTGCAGTCCCTATTTAAAATTTGTTTATATCATATCTCACACTCTTCCTTCTATGATAATTATAACGATTTACTGTTACAACGAAATAAGCACTACTCTGTTACACAAGGATTACCGAACGTGGTATGTTGGAGTGTGACACCCCCCCCCCGCCTCCCCCCCCCCACACCCACTTCTTAGAAATCTTGTCGGCAAAATGGAGATTATGTAGGAAAAACCGTGACCTGTTGGCAAATTAGTTGGTAAAATAGAGTTGGTTGGTAATGCGAAGAGGATGTAGAGGAACACCCCCACCTCCCACGATCCCCCTTTGGGGCGCTATGGTCTCTGTACGTCAATGCTGTTACAGTTGACATCAACAAATAGGACAGTATTACACTTTCCCTAATAAGATATATTCATAGAAAAATTGCATGTCTTGTTATGCAGATTGTTATTACCACACAAACTTAAAACGCATAAATGAAATGAAATTTTGGATATAATTTAGCTGTAGCAGCAACGTTTATATAAATAAATTAATACGGTTAGATGTATATGTAAACTTCAAATATATTTCAAGGAACTCGAAGGCTAACTAATGTCATAACTTACTTAACCGATATTGAAACGGTCAAAATTAAACACTTTGAGGTATCCCGTCGCTAAACAGTTTGCCCACACCCCCCTGAAGCTCCCCCCGGCAAAAAAAATACACAGCAACCTTGCACAAGGTAAATAAAGTAATTTCAGTCAAAAAGAGAATCAGGTTTTATAATATAGTTACCTTTGTTCTGGGTCGAAAATGACTAAGTGCCATACTTTTATAGACAATCATGGAAATTAATTCGTAGACTTTTCAAAAATTTCTCAATTTCCCCCCTCCCCGTTTACAATGTTGGTTTGAAGTCCAATAACCATGGTTCGAACCAACATTGTGGTAGGGGAGGGGGGGAGTTACTATTTCTAGCGATCATAGACGTTTGTATTAACTAAAAATAAAATGGCTTTACAAAATAGTCAGACAAGATGCGTTTTAAAAAAGTCTACGGATATTATTTCCATGATTGTAGTAACAAAATGGATTTGGGTAATTATGTAACTAGTTGTTGCAATGTGTTGCAAAAGTGGCTATCTTATCGACCAATCAGAAAGCTTCGTATATGCCATAGAATAAAGATCCATATAGAAGGGCCACTTACGTCGGAAGCTTTGAAGTTTCTGTCCTCGCGCATGTCGCATTACGCATCTTGGCCGCCATTTTCCTAGCCAGTCAATGATATTTTCCGGGCAATAAACACGCTGTACTGGCTGGCTGCGCCGCCTTCTGGCCAGTAAACTGCATATTTTTGCATAAAAAAACGAGGACACGTTGCACGGCTGCGTGACCCTTCTGTTACTGATCTTTATTCTGTGGTATATGTCGTGAACAACATTTGTGTATACCACGTTTTGGTTTTTATAATTGTCTTCTTTTTCTGCTCATTTTCGCTTATTAACTTTTCTGAGTGAAATGTCCGCCCGTCGGGTTTTGAAAGTGGATTTCCCGTGTATACAGGAACGATATTTATGAATGAGCTTAATTAGCATAATATGCTGCACTGTAGCACGTACATTTAATCGTTAAATATATACAAACACATATTGCACCAACAGTGTGCGTCACTTGTGAATTGAGCAAAGTCAATTTTGCGCAAAACATTTATTCTACAGTGTGTATAAAAAAATACAGGGTGTAGAAAAAAAATGTGCACCCTTTCAAATTCAAATTAACCGTCATCTATTATTGTAGTAATTTGACAGCCGTATAATTTCTCGAATTAATGAATGCGTTAGCGTGAAAACAGAAGGTCTTCTGTACATGGGAATTTAGGATAACTTCTATCTGTATGAACAAATACACAACTCAAAAGAAATTTTGGCTCCACAGAATTTTTTTTAAATTGTCAAGATAATTTATTATAGTAAGAGAAATCATTTTTTAAAATAAAATTTGGGAGTCACCGATATCTTTTACGAGTTAAATTGCTTTAAAGCCAATTTTATCCGCCATCTTGAAAAAACAGGCTGTATTGAGCCACCTTGATATGGTTTAAAAGGATTTGTAAACATTATTGAATGCGTCGTTACATACGAGGCTAAAATGCGAATCTTCGGGTTTCCGCTAAGATCCTAGACAACAGATGACTCGAGCTATAGAACTGAGAATTTTGGAAAATATAACCAACCAAAATTTAGTCAAATTGCCAATGTCCATTATTAATATCACAAATTTCCCTGTTAATAATAATAATTTATAAAGTGCTTTTTACATATAATATTAATGATCAAAAGCGCTGTAATACAATATAACTAATGTTCAATATGGTAAACATCACTTAAAAGTGTAATAAAATGTTGAAATGTCAAACGTTATAATGATTAATGACATTAAATATTATTTATTTATTTAATATTCGTCCAAATCAGTTTATAAAATTAACAATTTAAATAAAAAAGATTTACAATAGTAAAGCTAGGAACCTTCTAGAAACCATAAGGCTTTTGTTTAAGGTCCCTAGTTACAATTCAAATAATATAATATTAAGAGTTAATACCAGTCCAATTGTTTTCAAAGGAAGTACGGTGATATATTTATAATAAGGAAAGTGCGTAAAGATATAACAGACTATAACAACTATTTGGCTTTTCACTTTGTGCTAAGAATTCTACTAATTTAAATTTGACAGAAGAAAATACATTTTCATTGTAGATTTAAATATTGGAAGAGATCTAATTTGCTTACATTGCGTCGGAAGATTATTCCACACATCGATGCCGTTATTACTGAGCGTGTGTTTTTATAATTTGTTCTAATACAACTTTTGTGTAGCAATGATGCAATATTAATGACTCAACAATGTCTGTTACAATAACGGATCTCCTTAATATTTGTAACAAAACAATCAAAGTCCTAACAATATACCTCTCATGCAGACTGATGACGAATATCAACAATCCTATCAATTTTAAGAATTCATTCTTAGAAACAGGAAATAGCTTAGTTTTATAAGGATTTCTAAGAAATTGTGAGTTTTTAGGATTCTTATAGGAATTTAAGAAATTCTGAGAAAGCATGAATAATTTCTATGTATTTATTTGGCTTTACGTTGTCTTAACTGCCCAGAAATACAGAAAATAGCGTTTCTGTGAACTCAAGATTTTCAAAATTTTTCGCAGAATGACCGGATATCAAAATAACTGATTTGATTGTCTTTTGATAAATATAAGATTTGTCTGATTTCATAAATATTACACAGCGATAATTTCGTGAACTATAAACGCCAATTTTCAACGTTTTAAATCGTTTATAATAAAAATTATCGAAGGGAAGTCACACGAAAGTGAAAGAAGTATTTCCCATACGTATACTGTACATAACGAACGCCCACGTATTCAACGCACGTGTTACAGTAATGCCTTGCTTTCTTTATTTATCATACAAACAGCTTTCTAATGGATATGAACGGAAATTAGCTGGAATTTATTGCGGAAGATCCTAGCACTTTATATCAGAAATGAGAGGGCTTTGATTTCATTTCATAAATGTGAAAAAAGACACGCGGTTTCCAAGCCAAAGTGGAATAAGCCATCTACAAGTCCTCCTTATATTACCTGTATGTATGCATGTTAAAATATTTCATGGAAAGAAAAATTCTGCAAGACCAATTACTGAACGTATATGGAGTTATAAGACCTTTCGATTTATATACACTAACATACGTATATCGACGCGCTACAAGCAAATTAAGTGTTCCAACAATTGAAGAAAGAACCGATATACAAACTTTTGCGCGGAACTCGCGTAATGCAAACAAAAATAGGTTGTTCGGTGCATATATAAATGCTGGATTAGAGAAACATGATCATTATCAACAGTCGTCAAACAGTCAAATCATTACAAGAAAATCATTAAAGCAAACTTGTACACTACAGACTTGAAAATGAATGTAAGTATATGTCATACATTTCTGGTAAAAATGGCTGTGAAAATTTTTTAATTCAGGTTTCACCACGAGTTTAACAAACTATAACAAACTGTTTTTGGATGAGATTTGTGATTTTTTTTGCAATTCAAGAACTGTTTTTACATGCAGCATTTACTACTTCGACAAACAATGATCTATATTCTGTAATAAATTTACGTGGTGTTTCCACAAACAAAGTATTATACGTTTTATCGCCATGCAAACCTACAAAGAACTTATTTTTTTCTTTTCTTGTTTCATTTAGATGTTGGTGGTACTAGTTCTAGCTAGCATGGTGGTAAGCTCTGAATCAGGACTGTCTAATTTATTCCAGCGAACGAAAAGAAGTAGTGATGGTTGCCTTGGTACCACCAAGGCTATTGATAGGGGCAATGTATTCCCAAACCAACCACAGGCCATTAATTGGTCCAACCGAAATATTACACAATGTCAAAAGGGCTGCAAAAAAATTGTACGCAAAATCAAGTATGCTGTAATAAAGGAGGAAAGTATTGTGCTTGGGTGTGGTTTAGAAGGGAGCATAAACGTCTTCCTAGACAAAATTCGCTGTGATGAAGGATTTGAAGCTACAACGGTCGATATTATTGTGGTCAAAGAATCTGCAAATGGGGGCCGGTTAGACTCAGTGCTTAAAAAGGTTAAATATTGTATTAAAAAATAGTCCTAAATATACTGAACTTTAGGTTTAGAAATGAGAAGAACTGAAAATACTTATATTTATTAATATATTTATATATGGAATATTTAATGCTATTTTAATAAAATTAACGCGATAATGTACATAACGTCACAAAGTGGTTAAAGTCTACACGCGAAAAAACGAGCAACTTGTTACAAATCTGGAAACAAGCTGTAAAATGTTGTTGTGAAGCCGATATCAGGATGTGTTCGCACTGCTTGTTCCCAGTTGTTGTGACAAGTCTGGAACACATTGTTATCACCTTGTTACAAGGTTGATGACGGCAACAGACTTGCTACAAGTTGTTCCAACAAGACCGATACAGGCTGTTCGTAACAAGTTGCTACGAGCTTGTTGTCATCAACTTGTTACGTGCAGACGATATCAGACTTGTTGGAACAACTTGTTGCGAGTCTGTTGGCCTCATCAACCTTGTTACAAGATGATAACAACTTGTTCCAGACTTGGCAACAACTGGAACACATTTTCTGAACACATGTTGTTGACAAGCAGTGACATTTTTAAGTGTGTATACCTTAGAAAACAATCATAAGTAACATACTATAAACAAATTGAAATTATTAGTAATAAAGACAGATTTATATTTATAATTTAGAATATTAATATATGTGACACCAAAAATATTAATGTCATACCGTTGTACAGTATGTTCACGAGTTACGATTGAGTAAAAATTGTGTATTTATAAAGAAATTAATAAAAATTATGTATTTCTAGAGAATTAATAAAGATCTTTTATTTATGACCATGTGCTTATAACTGCCGCCTAGTAATGAATATATCGTAACAATATCATCCCGGATATATGATATTAACTGTATACTTATCAAAATCATAGTTAATATATATGACATGGTTTGGAAACCCTTCGTTTCAGATGATTGTGTACCTTGTGCAGGGTGACGGTTGAAAAATCTTTTGTCTTTCTATTGTTTGACAATAGTCAGTTCAGAAAGCTTGGCGAAGGGAATGGGTACCAAGCGTTTGTTTTGCCTACCAGGGCTAAATCTTACGGCATACTTTGCAAATAACGAAGTGTTACCACCATTTTTCGATGGAGAATGTTTGTGTTACATCGTTTGGTCAATTCTCATTGATTAAAACCAATATGTGCAGGGTCAAACAGACTGTTCAACCTCCATGTTTGTTTATAGCGTAATTTCTTTGAATTTTGCCGGGTTTCCTAACCAGGTCTTATCATAGATATCTTATATGCACTAGATAGCGCATCTCTTTTAGTAAAATTGAAGGCAAGAATATTCCAGCGGTTACTCCCATTTGAATAGATGGCGGCCATGTTGGAGTTTCCCACTCGCTAATAAACGCTTAAAAAACAACAATAACTTTCATCATTTGAAAATGTATTTGGAATAGGTTTAACTTAATGTTTAAGTTGCCTGTTTAAGAAATAGAAAACATACGAGTCTTCTCATTTCATGGGAATATCCTGTGTCAGCAATCACGGCTTCAATTTTTGCATTGCAGAATAATTAGATGCACTATCTAGTGTATATAAGATATCTATGTGTATATTGCGGACTAAAATGCGAATCGTTGGGTTTCCGCTAAGATCCTACACAATTGTATACTCCAGACGAATGCACTAAAATTACCATGTTTTGCCTTAGATCATTGTACTTCCGCTAAGATCCTACACAATCATTAATATAATACGATCCTAAAGACTAGTGTACATCTTGTAAAATTCTCCCACATAATTACATTACGCGCAAGAAAAATAACCATTTTCGAGCCGAAAGTGGTTATTTTTACTGCGCGTAATACAAATATATACAAAATTTGCGAGCTTCACAGGGCTAGATTTTCATCATTTTACAACATTTCGCAACCAATCTTTGCAGTTTTACTCATTCTAAGATGCTCTTTCTAGCTGTAGTGTTGGATTTCGTTTTTCTTGCCTTGATCAAAATTTAGTATATAGCTGGAATCACACATTGAAATTGCTTGGAACAAATACTGCAACCGATTTTGACAAGTCTATATACAATCGTCAGCCTCTTAGAATAATTGCCTAACTCATTTTTTGGGCCAAAAAGTCATTCTGTAATCAGTTGTTACATGTGGTGCAAAAGCGCCTATATCTTATCGACCAATCAGAAAGCTTCGTATATGCCATAGAATAAAGATCCGTATAGAAGGGCCACTTACGTCGGAAGCTTTGAAGTTTCTGTCCTCGCGCATGTCGCATTACGCATGTTAGCCGCCATTTTCCTAGCCAGTCAATGATATTTTCCGGACAATAAACACGCTGTACTGGCTGGCTGCTCCGCCTTCTGGCCAGTAAACTGCATATTTTTGCATAAAAAACGAGGACACGTTGCACGGCTGCGTGACCCTTCTGTTACTGATGTTTATTCTGTGGTATATGTTGTGAACAACATTTGTGTATACCACGTTTTGGTTTTTATAATTGTCTTCTTTTTCTGCTCATTTTCGCTTATTAACTTTTCTGAGTGAAATGTCCGCCCGTCTGGTTTTAAAAGTGGATTTCCCGTGTATACAGGAACGATATTTATGAATGAGCTATAATATGCTGCATTGTAGCACGTACATTTAATCGTTAAATATATATACAAACACATATTGCACCAACAGTGTGCGTCACTTGTGAATTGAGCAAAGTCAATTTTGCGCAAAACATTTATTCTACAGTGTGTATAAAAAAATACAAATTGTATCAAAAAAATGTGCACCCTTTCAAATTCAAATTAACCGTCATCTATTATTGTAGTAATTTGACAGCCGTATAATTTCTCGAATTAATGAATGCGTTAGCGTGAAAACAGAAGGTCTTCTGTACATGGGAATTTAGGATAACTTCTATCTGTATGAACAAATACACAACTCAAAGGAAATTTTGGCTCCACAGAATTTTTTTTAAATTGTCGAGATAATTTATTATACTAAGTGAAATCATTTTTTAAAATAAAATTTGGGAGTCACCGATATCTTTTACGAGTTAAATTGCTTTAAAGCCAATCTTATCCGCCATCTTGAAAAAACAGGCTGTATTGAGCCACCTTGATATGGTTTAAAAGGATTTGTAAACATTATTGAATGCGTCGTTACATACGAGGCTAAAATGCGAATCTTCGGGTTTCCGCTAAGATCCTAGACAACAGATGACTCGAGCTATAGAACTGAGCATTTTGGAAAATATAACCAACCAAAATTTAGTCAAATTGCCAATGTCCATTATTAATATCACAAATTTCCCTGTTAATAATAATAATTTATAAAGTGCTTTTTACATATAATATTAATGATCAAAAGCGCTGTAATACAATATAACTAATGTTCAATATGGTAAACATCACTTAAAAGTGTAATAAAATGTTGAAATGTCAAACGTTATAATGATTAATGACATTAAATATTATTTATTTATTTAATATTCGCCCAAATCAGTTTATAAAATTAACAATTTAAATAAAAAAATATTTACAATAGTAGGGCTAGGAACCTTCTGAAAACCATAAGGCTTTTGTTTAAGGTCCCTAGTTACAATTCAAATAATATAATATTAAGAGTTAATACCAGTCCAATTGTTTTCAAAGAAATTAATACGGTGATATATTTACAATAAGGAAAGTGCGTAAAGATATAATAGACTATAACAAGTATTTGGCTTTTCACTTTGTGCTAAGAATTCTACTAATTTAAATTTGACAGAAGAAAATACATTTTCATTGTCGATTTAAATATTGGAAGATCTAATTTGCTTACATTGCGTCGGAAGATTATTCCACACATCGATGCCGTTATTACTGAGCGTGTGTTTTTTATAATTTGTTCTAATGATGCAATATTAATGACTCAACAATGTCTGTTACAATAACGGATCTCCTTAATATTTGTAACAAAACAATCAAAGTCCTAACAATATTCCTCTCAGACTGATGACGAATATCAACAATCCTATCAATTTTAAGAATTCATTCTTAGAAACAGGAAATAGCTTAGTTTTATAAGGATTTCTAAGAAATTGTGAGTTTTTAGGATTCTTATAGGAATTTAAGAAATTCTGAGAAAGCATGAATAATTTCTATGTATTTATTTGGCTTTACGTTGTCTTAACTGCCCAGAAATACAGAAAATAGCGTTTCTGTGAACTCAAGATTTTCAAAATTTTTCGCAGAATTACCGGATATCAAAATAACTGATTTGATTGTCTTTTGATAAATATAAGACTTGTCTGATTTGATAAATATTACACAGCGATAATTTCGTGAACTATAAACGTCAATTTTCAACCTTTTACACCGTTTATAATAAAAATTATCGAAGGGAAGTCACACGAAACTGAAAGTAGTATTCCCCATACGTATACTGTACTTAAGGAACGCCCACGTATTGAACGCACGTGTTACAGTAATGCCTTGCTTTCTTTATTTATCATACAAACAGCTTTCTATGGATATGAACAGAAATTAGCTGGAATTTATTGCGGCAGATCACTTTATATCAGAAATGAGAGGGCTTTGATTTCATTTCATAAATGTGAAAAAAGACACGCGGTTTCCAAGCCAAAGTGGAATAAGCCATCTACAAGTCCTCCTTATATTACCTGTATGTATGCATGTTAAAATATTCATGGAAAGAAAAACTCTGCAAGACCAATTACTGAACGTATATGGAGTTATAAGACCTTTCGATTTATATACTCTAACATACGTATATCGACGCGCTACAAGCAAATTAAGTGTTCCAACAATTGAAGAAAGAACCGATATACAAACTTTTGCGCGGAACTCGCGTAATGCAAACAAAAATAGGTTGTTCGGTGCATATATAAATGCTGGATTAGAGAAACATGATCATTATCAGCAGTCGTCAAACAGTCAAATCATTACAAGAAAATCATTAAAGCAAACTTGTACACTACAGACTTGGAAAATGAATGTAAGTATATGCCATATATTTCTTGTAAAAGTGGCTGCGAGAATCTTTTAATTCTGATTTCACCATGAGTTTAACAAACTATAACAAACTGTTTATGGATGAGATTTGTGATTTCTTCCAATTCCAGAACTGTTTTTACACGCAGCATTTACTACTTGGACAAACAAAGATTTATACTCTGTCGCAAAAGCAACATTTAGCTCGCAAAAAAGAATTTAAAACCAAGAATGACAGCATGACAGCGCGTGCTTTTTACACAAAAACAATAAAAAAACATACAGCGTTCGTTCAGAGGAAAGGAAAACCCATGAATTTCGTTAGAGCGTTGTTTCAACTCTTTTCATATATGCGTGCATGCGTTTTGTGAAGATTGTACAAGCATGATTTTAATTACCAATCTACTAGTCGCGTCAACAATCGGTTATTTTCGATGATTTTGTATGGTGCTCGTGGGCAGATGTGTGAGCAGATCAATGCTCGCTATGAACAAAATTTGGTGAAACCTAGATTTTTATATGGAGTGTAGGAGTCCCACAATTCTAACATATACCCATGGTTTTAATTGTGTTTTTTCTTCTTTTCAAGATTCCAAAAACATTCGTCGTGTTACTTTTGTCACTAAGCTTGGCAGACCTCGTATGTTCTGCTTCGTGTATAAATAAAACCAGCGAAATACATGTGCCTGGAAAATTATTCCCGGCAGCAATGCGCAATCTGCGTAACATAACATGTAGCGATACTTGCTATCCAGTATTTGCCGAGGTAACTTACGCGGTGATAGTGAAGAAGAGATTGGTAATTGCGTGCCGAGAAGACAAAATTGTGAGTGGTATAGCTGGTTTCAAAATGCCACTGTTTCCGTTGTCAACACAGCCAATCATGAAATGCAAGGATACCTACAAGCCCAGAATCTCAAACCCGGTAAGCGTGGCGATGACAGAAACAAAACCAGGTACTCTCAAAGCGTCAATGTTACCCATCGTCGTAGATTGTGAGTCGCGTTCAAAGTAATGTATTCACTTTCAAAATACCTGAAACGCTGAGATTTTTCTCGTGACAGAACATTTTGAAGTGTATATAGAATAACTGTATTTGTTATAAATTATTGTTCCTTAGCTATCCTTTAAACTAATATCACTTTGTTTCTGTGCATCTGTTGGAGACATTTGCAAGAGAAATATCTTAGTTTGTAATTTTTATAGAAATCATAAATATAAATATGTACTAATAATATACAGTAATTGTAAAATATAAATATTTCAGTAGCGTTCAAATCAGAAACTGATGTGAATTATATAAATTATAATATAAGAAAACACTAATATATTATTAATAATTCAATATAAGTGTATAATATTATATAATTAATAGAATAATAAGGGAGCGATCCTATATCAATTTATGTATTTTTGTAATCAGAAATAAAATCGTAATATTATTTCGTTGTGATAATTCTGTACTAATTGGAAAACCGCCATATTATTGCACTTCCGCCATTTTAAAATGTCCCAAATTGGGACACCATTACTACTATCTTAGACAAACATTCATAATTGCATCGATATCCCCCAAATCCAACCCCCCGCTAAATATGTTCCCAGGGCCATTTTCCCTAACAGACTTGATCTCACGGGGGGCATATTTCCTAGAAATTTGGGTTGCCTTATTTCGAAATAAAAATCTCTACGAAAGTAATCATGCATACAAAATATCGTAATATATGTTGATTGTTTGTTTTCGGTATTCATAATTGGATGAGCTCTAACCCAATGAGTGACAGCGCTCTCCTCTTGACGAACACATTCGTCTGGCGTTAGACAGAGTACAATAATACAATAGGGCGTATCAGAGCGAATTGCCACTTCAAGGGTTAGGCTCCCAAATGTAAAGAAACAGAATTTGTACTCACAGGAGTTCCACGAAAGTCTTCGTGTTTTCTGAGGCTACAGATTGACACGTAGTTGAAAGGTTGCTCAACTATTACAAAAGAAATATTAAATCGTATTTATTCAATATTGGCATTGTTCACTGATTAAACCAGACTTTATTTCAAACAGCCAGAACATTAGTTGAACAAGACCAATTTTAAGAACGTAGAAATTCATATCTTAGATCGAATTTTTTTGAGCAGTGCGGCAAACATCCTGTATAATAAACTTACCACCATTTTGTCGAAGTCTTTCGATAAACGACGTTTCACCACGACATAATGACATGTAATTCCAATGAGTTATAACACATATAGACGTTCCAGAAGCGTTGCCAATCTCACCTGAAGTAATGAATTGGTATAGCAAGCTAGGTTTTTAGATTTTTCTACATTTCCAAGGTGAATATGTGTCAATTACCCAGAATAGACAAATTCAGAGATCCAGCAAAGACCCTGTTATCGTAAATTTTTTAAAACGCCTTATCCGTACCTTCGAACGCTGGTAATAAAGGCATAACAATGAAAAGTCTGAAGTTTTCTCCATTGCTAAAAGAAAAAGCAATGTAGTGGTTGAAAATTATCATTAATATTCGCGTGTTTGAATCACAATGATCTGCAATCTAGAATTGGATAGAGTATCCTTTTGTATTCAATTTTGAAGCCTGAATATCTCTAATGAGATTAGATTAAGTCTGTCAAAAACTCTGTATATCGGATCGAATTAGCTACAATATGATTTATGAAGCAGATGTCTTTTCCTATGGAACTTGAACGAGTTAGCTTCCGACATATCTTCTAGTGAGTTTTAGAACGTTTTAAACACTAGATAATGAGACTTGTGGCAGCCATCTTGGTTATGACATCATCAGTTATTCACGAGCAATTTGAAAAGAGAAAAAAGGTCACTGTTGATAAATTACTATTCAGACAATGTTTATCCTTTCTCGTTTCTCAACTCTAATCACCTCTCATGCAAACTCTCGCTTCTCAACTCTCATCAACTCTCATGCAAACTCTCTCCTTCTCAACTCTCATCAACTCTCATGCAAACTCTCGCCTTCTCAACTCTCCTTAACGTTCATCCACATTCGTCAACTTACATGTGCGCACGCGTAATACGTTTGACCAAGAGATCCCCTATGATGTTCTTTACATCGGGAGGAAGGGACGTGATAAAAAATTGATTCTAAAGAAATTTCAAAAAATTACAATGTCCATTAATGTTTATTCATTGTTTGTATTTTCTCACTATGCCGGTCAATACAATAGCCCTATTCACATTAGAGACGGACAAGTCGTCTAGACGAACAAATCGTCTCTCAAAAATCGTCTTCACAGACGGGCAAGTAGTGGAACAAATTCAGACGACTTGTTCGTCTAACATTTTGTCCGACACGTTTTCACATCTGATGATTTGTCCGACTAAAAGACGATTTTGAGACGATTTATTCGTCTAGACGACTTGTCCGTCTTCTAATGTGAAAACGGCTAATACCATAGGTCAAAATCGGCAGAACATTTTCATTCCTGGTCAGGTCTTCACATGGAAAATTTGACCCCACTTCGCTTGGTGTTATTGTAATTAATTTGTCATGTCTTACCTCAATATAAATGTAATGCTTGGATGTTTTAATCAAATGAATGTAAGCGTTATATATTGATGACTCACGCGGGCAGCCCGCTGACCACTCTCCAACAGAACGAAGTACCTGAAGGGCAATGAAAAAATAATACCGCGACTGTCAACCACAAAGCCTGTTAAATTAACCATGAGGAATCCTGGGTACATTAGCCACGGTTAAATTAAACACGACATTAAAGATGCTGTAAAGTCCGTAATGTAAACAAACGCTTTGTTTACATTTTGAACGGCTATATATTTGTAAAATATGATATACAAACTGAATATCTAACATTTTTCTGGTTCGCTGTGCTTGTAAATGAATATAAACTAAACGTTTCAACTCAAAAAAGTTCGAAAGATGCAAAATTTGGGCAATTTTTATATCCGGGGGTCTCCCTTTGTTATGAGCGAAACTGATGCGCAGAACGGACTTGGCAGCATCTGTTTAACCAGGGTGTAGAGTGTGTACATGTCATGATAAAATATTACCAAAACACACCTGACAGTTGATGTTACTGGTTTTCAGCCCATCAGGAGCGACGTCGACCAGTCCAGTGTACGTTTTTGGAAGAAGGAGAGGGAAGACCGAGTCGTACTTCTTCTTCTCTAACTAGAAAAACAAACAAATAATTTCGAGATTTTTTGCATCTTACATTGGCACCTCCTTATACTGGCATTACCCACAAAATATAAACAAAGAGTCGTGGTTAGAGCTCGACAACTGTCTCTCTGTAGCTCAGTTGGTTAGAGCTCGACAACTGTCTCTCTGTAGCTCAGTTGGTTAGAGCTCGACATCTGTCTCTCTGTAGCTCAGTTGGTTAGAGCTCGACAACTGTCTCTCTGTAGCTCAGTTGGTTATAGCTCAACAACTGTCTTTCTGTAGCTCAGTTGGTTAGAGCTCGACAACTGTCTTTCTGTAGCTCAGTTGGTTAGAGCTCGACAACTGTCTCTCTGTAGCTCAGTTGGTTAGAGCTGGACAACTGTCTTTCTGTAGCTCAGTTGGTTAGAGCTCGACAACTGTCTCTCTGTAGCTCAGTTGGTTAGAGCTCGACAACTGTCTCTCTGTAGCTCAGTTGGTTAGAGCTCGACAACTGTCTCTCTGTAGCTCAGTTGGTTAGAGCTCGACAACTGTCTTTCTGTAGCTCAGTTGGTTAGAGCTCGACAACTGTCTTTCTGTAGCTCAGTTGGTTAGAGCATGACAACTGTCTCTATGTAGTTCAGTTGGTTAGAGCTGGACAACTGTCTCTCTGTAGCTCAGTTGGTTCGAGCTCGACAACTGTCTCTCTGTAGCTCAGTTGGTTAGAGCTCAACAACTGTCTCTCTGTAGCTCAGTTGGTTAGAGCTCGACAACTGTCTCTCTGTAGCTCAGTTGGTTAGAGCTCAACAACTGTCTCTCTGTAGTTCAGTTGGTTAGAGCTCAACAACTGTCTCTCTGTAGCTCAGTTGGTTAGAGCTCAACAACTGTCTCTCTGTAGCTCAGTTGGTTAGAGCTCGACAACTGTCTCTCTGTAGCTCAGTTGGTTAGAGCTCGACAACTGTCTCTCTGTAGCTCAGTTGGTTAGAGCTCGACAACTGTCTCTCTGTAGCTCAGTTGGTTAGAGCTCGACAACTGTCTCTCTGTAGCTCAGTTGGTTAGAGCTCGACAACTGTCTCTCTGTAGCTCAGTTGGTTAGAGCTCGACAACTGTCTCTTTGTAGCTCAGTTGGTTAGAGCTCGACAACTGTCTCTCTGTAGCTCAGTTGGTTAGAGCTCGACAACTGTCTCTCTGTAGCTCAGTTGGTTAGAGCTCGACAACTGTCTCTCTGTAGCTCAGTTGGTTAGAGCTCGACAACTGTCTCTCTGTAGCTCAGTTGGTTAGAGCTCGACAATGTCCTCGACAACTGTCTCTCTGTAGCTCAGTTGGTTAGAGCTCGACAACTGTCTCTCTGTAGCTCAGTTGGTTAGAGCTCGACAACTGTCTCTCTGTAGCTCAGTTGGTTAGAGCTCGACAACTGTCTCTCTGTAGCTCAGTTGGTTAGAGCTCGACAACTGTCTCTCTGTAGCTCAGTTGGTTAGAGCTCGACAACTGTCTCTCTGTAGCTCAGTTGGTTAGAACTGGACAACTGTCTCTCTGTAGCTCAGTTGGTTAGAGGTGGACAACTGCCTCTCTGTAGCTCAGTTGGTTAGAGCTCAACAACTGTCTCTCTGTAGCTCAGTTGGTTAGACCTCGACAACTGTCTCTCTGTAACTCAGTTGGTTAGAGCTCGACAACTGTCTCTCTGTAGCTCAGTTGGTTAGAGCTGGACAACTGTCTCTCTGTAGCTCAGTTGGTTAGAGCTCAACAACTGTCTCTCTGTAACTCAGTTGGTTAGAGCTCGACAACTGTCTCTCTGTAGCTCAGTTGGATAGAGCTGGACAACTGTCTCTCTGTAGCTCAGTTGGTTAGACCTCGACAACTGTCTCTCTGTAACTCAGTTGGTTAGAGCTCGACAACTGTCTCTCTGTAGCTCAGTTGGTTACAGCTCAACAACTGTCTCTCTGTAGCTCAGTTGGTTAGAGCTCGACAACTGTCTCTCTGTAGCTCAATTGCTTAGCTCTGTTTTATAAAGTTTCATACATAATTATCTTGTTCTATGTCCAGATTTTATTTATGTCAACAAATTGACTTGTAGGCATAAATATATACAAATGTGAAATTTAACAGTCCCATATCTTAATCTTAAAAACATATACATCACTTGACGATATGGATTTAATTACTTCGTCGTTTGACCATACCTTTGTAAAATTCCATCTCTGAATAAAATGTCTAGCAACATCGCGAGCGACGTGGCCCCAGACGCAAACAGCCACATCATGCCAAGGCATTCTGTTCGTGCTTGTGCGGTCTAGGATATCTACAAGTGAAATAAAGCAGAAAACATTCTGAATCAAAACCTAATCTCTCAACTTTGAACATGATTAAAAATTTACACACTGTATGTTAAAAGTAATGGCCAAGCATGGAAAATTTTCAAGACTTGAAAGAACCCAACAAATTTCAATAGTCCATAGAATAAGAAAGGAACTCAACTTGTAATATCAAGACTGGGTAATAAAATTAACGCACTGCTATTGGTCGGTCGGGCGAAAAAACAATACACATGGGACAATGAACCGACCATTTCTTGCATAAACCTTCTTCATATTCTACTGACCATGTGCAAAACCTAACCCCGGCCTAACCCAACCCAACCCAAGGCAGCTTGGCAAATCAAATGCCACAGTATTGAAATTATGCATTTCCTATCATTCCCAGATCAACAATGAATAATCTACCTTGCTCTGGCTTATGAAGATCAACAAAATCTTTCTTAATGGGATTAGAATAATCTTTTCCTCTCCACAACCGCGCTCGCTTCAGTAATTTTCTTGATCGCGATGTTTTGCGATCTTTGGTTCCAGTGCCCTCCTCCGTCGTTTCGTTAAAGTTCGGAACGACGTTCCCTGTGGCCGCCAAGAATACATTGCCAATGTTTGCTATCTCTGTCTCCTGCAAGACAATGCATCACCACGATTTAAATAGAAAAGAAAAGAACGATCAATGAAGTTAATTTCTGTTCTGTATTACTAACACTGAATCAATAAGTGACAATAAATTACTGGACCTCTGAGGAAAACAGTTTAGAACTGATAGAGTTATCCAGTATAAATAAAGTTAGTTCAGTTTAGGTTTCCTCCTGTAGTAACACTGGATCAATAAGAGATGATCCTTACTGGACCTCTAGGAAGAACAGTTTAGAACTGCTAGAGCTGCCCAGTATAAATAAAGTTAGTTTAGTTTAAGTTTCCTCCTGTAGTAACACTGGATCAATAAGAGATGATCCTTACTGGACGGCTAGGAAGAACAGTTTAGAACTGATAGAGCCATCCAGTATAAAAAAGTTAGTTTAGTTTAGGTTTCCTCCTGTAGTAACACTGAATCAACAAGAGATGATCCTTACTGGACCTCTAGGAAGAACGGTTTAGAACTGATACAGCTATCCAGTATAAATAAAGTTAGTTTAGTTTAGGTTTCCTCCTGTAGTACAACTGGATCAATAAGAGAAGATCCTTACAGGACCTCTAGGAAGAACAGTTTAGAACTGATACAGCTATCCAGTATAAATAAAGTTAGTTTAGTTTAGGTTTCCTCCTGTAGTACAACTGGATCAATAAGAGATGATCCTTACAGGACCTCTAGGAAGAACAGTTTAGAACTGATACAGCTATCCAGTATAAATAAAGTTAGTTTAGTTTAGGTCTCCTCCTGTAGTACAACTGGATCAATAAGAGATGATCCTTACAGGACCTCTAGGAAGAACAGTATAGAACTGATAGAGCTATTCAGTATAAATAAAGTTAGTTTAGTTTAGGTTTCCTCCTGTAGTACAACTGGATCAATAAGAGATGATCCTTATTGGACCTCTGGGAAGAACAGTTTAGAACTGATAGAGCTATTCAGTATAAATAAAGTTAGTTTAGTTTAGGTTTCCTCCTGTAGTAACACTGGATCAATAAGAGATGATCCTTACAGGACCTCTAGGAAGAACAGTATAGAACTGATAGAGCTATTCAGTATAAATAAAGTTAGTTTAGTTTAGGTTTCCTCCTGTAGTACAACTGGATCAATAAGAGATGATCCTTATTGGACCTCTGGGAAGAACAGTTTAGAACTGATAGAGCTATTCAGTATAAATAAAGTTAGTTTAGTTTAGGTTTCCTCCTGTAGTAACACTGGATCAATAAGAGATGATCCTTACAGGACCTCTAGAGACAATTGTTCAGAACAACGGAGTCAGATGAAACAAGGATGAGAGTACATGGGAGTTGGCAATCACGTGATCTTGGTTAGCTGCGCTTAATGCTTTCCCATCATGTATTCTATGTAATTTTTTTAAAACAAAGTTGAAAGAATTTTCAACTGTCTATACCAGAGTAAGTAGTGCCTTCATCGAGAAAGGCCTTCGAATTTCTCCTTATATTTTACAGGAAGTTACATCTCTACCAACGACAGTTTCGTTATCATAGTTGAAGCATTCATTAAAACCTGTATTTTGTTAACCAATGTATCACTGCGAATCCTCATCAGGGGTGGATTTATACGCGAATCCTCATCAGGGGTGTGCCCCCTGTTCGCCTTGGTCAGCCGGAGTGCAAAAAATCAAATTCGGAAATATGGCACAATCTCCAAGGTTTTTCGTTTTTGAAGTCAAATTGAAGCTCATAATTCAATTCCCATATTGCAGGAAATGGCATTTCTAGGGTTCTAATTTTCAAAGGAAGGCAATTCATTTGAATGCTCTCCTACCATCTCCTAAAGAATTATAAAGAAATACTGGGTTGCTCTAGAGAAACCTTGCTGGATCCACCCCTGATTCTCAACAGCTCTCACCCTCGTTAAAACGCAACCTCAGACATACCATTCTTGAATATTTGTTAGGTTCGAACTCAACATCGCAATCGGTCAGATAATGTTTACAATTGTCCCATCGGCCATAGCATAAATCCAATCCTATATATGATAGAATCAACATTTTAGATGATTATTCCTTTAAACTTGCCCCAAAAACAAGAAAGAAAATTTTAGCACGAAAAAATACAACAGAATGTATAAATACCTCCAAGGAAAATAATTTCTTGATCAATGCAAACAATTTTCTCGTGATGAGCCCAATAAAATATTCCAGTTTTGCCCGGGGTATGGTCCGGATGACGCAACACCTGAAGAGAAACGTGAATACAATCCACAGACTGCCGTGGGTAAAAAGTATACTGAAATCTGGTATACTTTTTAGCCACAGACTGCCGTGGCTAAAAAGTATACTGAAATCTGGTATACTTTTTAGGCCACAGACTGCCGTGGCTAAAAAGTATACTGAAATCTGGTATACTTTTTAGCCACAGACTGCCGTGGCTAAAAAGTATACTGAAATCCGGTATACTTTTAGGCCACAGACTGCCGTGGCTAAAAAGTATACTGAAATCTGGTATACTTTTTAGGCCACAGACTGCCGTGGCTAAAAAGTATACTGAAATCTGGTATACTTTTTAGGCCACAGACTGCCGTGGCTAAAAAGTATACTGAAATCTGGTATACTTTTTAGCCACAGACTGCCGTGGCTGAAAAGTATACTGAAATCTGGTATACTTTTTAGCCACAGACTGCCGTGGGTAAAAAGTATACTGAAATCTGGTATACTTTTTAGCCACAGACTGCCGTGGCTAAAAAGTATACTGAAATCTGGTATACTTTTTAGCCACAGACTGCCGTGGCTGAAAAGTATACTGAAATCTGGTATACTTTTTAGCCACAGACTGCCGTGGCTAAAAAGTATACTGAAATCTGGTATACAATCCGGATGACGCAACACCTGAAGAGAAACGTGAATACAATCCACAGACTGCCGTGGCTAAAAAGAATACTGAAATCTGGTATACTTTTAGGCCACAGACCGCCGTGGCTAAAAAGTATACTGAAATCTGGTATACTTTTTAGCCACAGACTGCCGTGGCTAAAAAGTATACTGAAATCTGGTATACTTTTTAGCCACAGACTGCCGTGGCTAAAAAGTATACTGAAATCTGGTATACATTTTAGCCACAGACTGCCGTGGCTAAAAAGTATACTGAAATCTGGTATACTTTTAGGCCACAGACTGCCGTGGCTAAAAAGTATACTGAAATCTGGTATACTTTTTAGCCACAGACTGCCGTGGCTAAAAAGTATACTGAAATCTGGTATACTTTTTAGCCACAGACTGCCGTGGCTAAAAAGTATACTGAAATCCGGTATACTTTTTAGCCACAGACTGCCGTGGCTAAAAAGTATACTGAAATCTGGTATACTTTTTAGCCACAGACCGCCGTGGCTAAAAAGTATACTGAAATCTGGTATACTTTTTAGCCACAGACTGCCGTGGCTAAAAAGTATACTGAAATCTGGTATACTTTTTAGCCACAGACTGTCGTGGCTAAAAAGTATACTGAAATCTGGTATACTTTTTAGCCACAGACTGCCGTGGCTAAAAAGTATACTGAAATCTGGTATACTTTTTAGCCACAGACTGTCGTGGCTAAAAAGTATACTGAAATCTGGTATACTTTTTAACCACAGACCGCCGTGGCTAAAAAGTATACTGAAATCTGGTATACTTTTTAGCCACAGACTGCCGTGGCTAAAAAGTATACTGAAATCTGGTATACTTTTTAGCCACAGACTGCCGTGGCTAAAAAGTATACTGAAATCTGGTATACTTTTAGGCCACAGACTGCCGTGATATATATATATATATATATATATATATATATATATATATATATATATATATATATATATATATATATATATATATATATATATATGGT